CCAGATTTGAAGAGGTCATTATACGACAATGTCATATTGGCCACACAAGATATACTCATGCATACCTATTGAAAGGTGAGGATCCTCCGTTTTGTATCCCTTGTGATGATAGAAAAACGGCCAAGCATGTCCTGCTTGACTGTCTTGAATTCTCCATCATAAGGGATAAATATTTCAATATCAAAACAGTAAGGGACCTTTTTAATAATGTTAATTATCGTATAATCATTGATTTTTTAAAGAGATAGATTTGTTAAATGAATTTTGATATATGTTTTGTAAATAAAGAAAAATATATAATTGGTAGTTCTGATTATGAACTTAGATTGTTTGTGGCTGTATCCTCAAAGGGGGTTGAAGTAGCGTAAAATTATTGTCCTCCTGAGAGAATGCATAAGTCCCAAAAACTTTCCAAGTCAATTTCGCTCAACCATACTTTTTAATCATAGTACATTTGTTATTATAAATTTCGGCTAAATCATCCTACATTCGCCAGCGGCTGAAAGGATGGTGTAAATCCAACTAGGGTCTATGCAGGTAGCAAAAGTAATGTAAGTCCCCATGGTTCCTAGTATGGTGATCTACCTTCAGTTGTTGGCGATCTTATAGCCCGTGTTTTATATTGTATTGTCTGCTTTAATTAAAATGTTTTAGTTTTCCATGCTAGTTTTATATCCACATCTGTGATACTCCAGTTATTTTAGTCCGTCGATGGCTGGTTATTTACCTACTTGTGTTTATTGTGTATGCCCAACATTTCTCGTCACTCTATGACTGAAATATTGCCGAGGTGACGTTAAGTTTTAACTCACTCACTCGTGGACATACGCGTCTTGCGACAGAAAAATTGGTATTGCCATTATGCCTGCTGAACCGAGTTAAGATTCTTCTCTGTGTTAATGCAATAATAAAAACAAACATATCTGATTGAACAGTGTAATGTTTTCTGAGTTTGCGTGTGCGTCTCGTTTCTATTGAACAGTGTATGTATTCGAAATGAGTACTTTGTTATCCTATTACTAAAATGTGAACTCACTCTCTCGTCCCCATTGCATTGTAAATTTATTGTCAACCACCAAGATATAGCCGTGTAACTCCTCCACTCCTAATGTATTACTTTTGTATATGTATTACTTCTATAGTTAAGCATATAGTCCAGGGACCTTGGCTATGCCACCTTTGGACTAGTGAGGAGGCAGAGAACATGTCTCAACCATATCCACTTTGAGTTGGATTGGACACCAAAACATCCACCAGAGTTTCTGCTGTCCTACTTCTTGCACAGATCTACTTCTATCAAACTTAAAAGCTCGCACGTCCACTATCACCTCCGTCCAGGATTCGTCCTTTAATAAAAAAGCAACAAAACCCTTTCCACATCCATAAGAAGTCTCTGCTAAACGCAGAGTCGCATGTACAATTGTGACTATGTCATGAGTACATGTATATATGTATATATATTCTTTTCAGAAGCATTACAGCTTTACGATGTTGTTTGTAAACACTCGAGTATAGACCAGACCATCCGATAATTGAAACCACGCGATACGACGACAGAACATGTGTGTCGATCACTATCAAATAGTGAAAAAGGTAACCGTATCCTGCACCACCATTGACACCTGTCAAATACATATGCAAAGTCTAGTCATTTGTTCACCTGAAATAATTCGGGAACGTTTGGTACGAATCCAAATAGGGAATTACATCAGACATAATATTTGTCACTGGTGAATCAAATTGTCTACCATCAAACCTTTGGAAAGATGTAAGGAGATCATGAATGTTGTAACCTTAATCGAACAGCTCCTGAGCAAGCAAGAGTTGTATGAAGCTCTGCGAATTCTTGGTAAAAACAGCATGCCTAATTGTACCTCAAAAGTTGTGCAATGTAAACACCAAAGGCTGGAGCTGTTGGAATATTGCTCGACATGAGAGGAAAGTTGACAATTGAAATGTTGAAATCGCCCGTTTTGTCATTAAACCTTGTGGAGGTGTTTTTTGTCACTTTTTAATTTTTTCATACATGCTTATTTTCAAGTACAGATCGGTAAATCAGTGGAAGGCAAATGACTTTTGATGGCTATTGATCGATATCAATGCATCGATATACCTGAAGCTTCAGTTAATCGTGTTTGCCCAATTACCTTCTTTAAATGTTGCCACCCCGACCAGAAATTTTGATCGATATACATAAAGAAACAGATTCACAAATGGGGGAGTACAATTGTCGCCATGGGGATTGCCGACTTCTTGTCAAAAAGTACATGTATTTGCTCCAAATATTACAATAATGTTATAAATGAGAAAGTCCAACATTTCACATAACGTTTTCTAGGTAAGCTTCAAATGACATTCAGTGTAGACAAATTGTTCTGAACCTCTGAAGATAAATATGAAGGTATATCTGTGTTCACCTCTTTTATTCACAAATGCCCCGTAGATCATATAATAACGTTTTCTTATAAGTTTGTCATGGTGGAAAGAGGTATGCAAAGTTGAGAAATGTTTTGACATAACGGAATTCGGCAGTTTTCAGAATTCACATAGTAATTATTCCGCTTGTCTCAAATACCTTCTGTGAATATCGAGAAAGTCCTTCCTTGAAAGTAAGGGGCGGTGGGGTAGCCTAGTGATTAGAGCGTTCGCTCGTCACACTGAAGACCCGGATTCGATTCTCCACATGGGTACAATGTGTGAAGCCCATTTCTGGTGTCCGCTGCCGTGATATTTCTGGAATATTGCTAAAGCAGGTTTCTTCATCAGTTAACATAGTTTCCTTATATAAGTTATCATTTCGTATATCACGCATACCAAGATCTTTGTGAAACAATTTATGTAATGATGTTTACATATAATGATTATGCTATTTGAGGCAGTCGGTGGGAACAACTATAACTTTATATGCAGGGCATCCAGACTTTGGATGGCACCTGGCTGAGATTGGTTGTTGTTGTATTGCACTCAGTAATATTCCAGCTATGGGACAGACCGGTTTATTCCAATTCTGTTTCCCTTTTTCAGTTTGTGCATTTTACCAATGACAATATCCCGCACTGATTCAACCCGCTCTGAAAGACATTCGACAGGATCGCCTTCTCCTTTGGCCCATTTTTAGGCATATGCCTCGACAGTATCCATAATGATTTTAATGTTGTAATTCCAATTGGTAGGATGCTGTTCATGATTTTTAGGTCTAAATTTCAATAGTTGACGAAGGTCGCTATTGTCAACAATGGACAAGTCACCTGTGATTATATGTTTTGCGGGTGTGTTTGTTCGGCCATGCGTTTCTAAAATTGAACAACCTGGCCAAGGATGTATTATGTTCCCAAAAAAAAAAGGATCTTGTTGGTATTTCTTGAAATCTGATATATTTTGGCACATTTTGGAAAACTGACTTTTGTCTCAAAACGTTTCTTACATTTAAGTAGCAATTCACTTGTTTGCAAGTTTCGGATGCAGGAACATTCGGTCTTTGTCTGATTCAGCAGAGCCTATTTCTGGTTTGGCCAGACGATTCGAATCAATATGTAGAACTATATTCTCTAGTATTATGGGCATGGAGACTATGTTCAACACAAACATGCTACAAATGTTGGACAACGTGGACTGTTATTCTCATTGTGAACTATTCAAGCGATCAGATGCTAGATCAACCCCGGAGGAATTGCATAACGGCTGATCGGTTAGCTCCCTCCGACTATTGTTGATGTACTTTGGACCAGTTTGTAAATAGTTTTTCTTCTTGTTTTAATTTACGCAGGTCACCTTCAATTCCAGCAGTGATCACACAAACTCCATTTCCGTATTTGGATCACAGCTGGCTGAGTCAGATTTGATTCCTTCTGTTTTCGTTCAGTTTGTGCATTTCACAATGTCATGCAATGGTATTCGTAAAGGAAAATGAACCTGTTTATGTCTCCTGTACTTTGAAATATCCTAGGACATCGGGAAACTGATATTTTTGCTTGGAGATGTTACTTAATTTAAGGCATCAATTTACTTGTTAGCAAAGTTTAGATTTTATTTTTCTCAACTGAAACGTGTATAGAGAAACCTTTGACTGTTTATACTAGTATATGTCAGGAATCAATCGGTACATTCTGTTTAACATTTACTACGCTTCTCTGTCGTTCTACATTCGTCACATGGTGTTGATGTATGCGTCGAAAATAGAGGTCTGTCTGGTTGTCCGTCATATTTGATATCACAGAAAATAAAGCAGAAGACGTGTTGCAAACACACACACATTAAGTGTAAGGAACGGCTCTAGCTAATTAGTGAAAGGTTTCAGAGCTTGTGTAGGCCGTGATATCAAATGTTGAAAACATTATGAGAATCCAAAGAGTACATATTGATCAGTTTGGGACTAAGGCTTATCGTTAAAATGTTTGAAAACTTACCCAGTGCAATCTTATCCGAAAATCAGATTCATTTCACATCCTGCCTACATGAAGACATATTTACTGATGCATCTGCGATAACACAATTTTCCGATGCCACATAAATGGGATATTATTGTCGTTGTTAGCACGAGTTAAATGTTGATGAAGCTGTTGATGTCACCCCACAGGCAGCCCATCTTGGAGACACGCGAGAATATTTGTAAATATGCCACATGACAATGATCATGATCGTATGGTTTGAATTAAGTTTGGGAATGTAGCATGATATTTCACATAAATATGTTGTTTGCATAATAGCAAGTTTAATTGCTATGCATTCAATCTTACCTTTCTGTAAAGTGGTCTTAAAGCCAATCTATCTTTCAATGGGAAATGGGATCTTGCAAGACCCTATGACTGATACTGACCCAAGTGCAAGCTTCCACAAATGGGTAGTAGTTAATTTGCGTGAGGTGGATTCACAGGAAAAGGTTTACACTGTTTGACAACTGTAAGAATCAACTCTTGGGGCGTTGGGGTAGAGAAGTGCTTGTCACGGATTCGATTCCCGACATTGTTCACCTTGCAGTGGTATTGTTCGAACATTGGAAGTACCAACGTAAAACAATATTCACTCACTCATAATAGACTAGGCCCGATTCTGGAAAAAGGCTCAAATAAAAGATGTTGAGGAATTTTTAATAGGATTTGGTATCCAGGCTATTTTACCTATTTAAAGGGTGCTGATCACGAAAAAATAGGATACCAAGCTGAAAAAAAGTGTTTTTGACCCTCAAAATTGAAAAACAAAATGGCCGCCAAAATCGCCTAAAATAGTGGTAGGTGTGCACAGTATTTTCGCCTATAACTGTATCTCTAATTTTTAAATTTTGGAAACTTGACCTTATATGACATTTAAAGAATGCTGATTATGGATAAATAGGATTCCAAGCTGAAAATGTTTTTGAGCCTTTTAAAATTTAAAAACAAAATGGCCGCCATAGTCACCTCAAGCAGTGGTATGTGTGCATAGTATATCATCACCTGTGACTGTATATCTTTTTTTCTAATTTGTTTAAACCTGATTCTGTTTGACATTTGAAGGGTGCTGATCACGAAAAAAACAGGATACCAAGTGAAAAAATTGTTTATGAACCTCAAAATTGAAAAACAAACTGGCCGCCAAATCACCTTTTCAGTGGACAAACAAACTGATTGTTAGATTGGTATATGATGAAACATAAATGACCACTGGACAATTAAACTGTTATTATCGTTGTAACCACAAAATATAGAACTGACTTTCATTTAAATATATATATATATATATTATAAAATTATTTTTTAAACGTATTTTATCAAAATTGTCATAAATTATTAGGAAAAAGTTGTTAACTGAACGCTTTAGTCGTTTGCATAGTTCAGATAGTTAGCAACACATTATGAAACATTACTGAGCACAGTTGCATTTGTTTTTAAAGTTTTTTTAAAAAGGTGGTAATTTGACAATTCAAAATAATGAACGGCCCCTTTACTTTTAATTGCTGCCTTCTTTAGACATGTCAAGTTGCTGGTGCAATTATTGTAAGCCTTTTACATTGACATTTTTTTCATAGTGTATCTACTTTCAATAAATGGCAAATAAGAACAATACAATGAATAATATACTGCATTTTCAGTTACAAAATGTAAGTGAAACCCTGCTGTTCAAATCCTATTGACTGGAAGAAATGTATGTTTTGTCAAGAAGTTAACTTGGAACAACACCAGCCTCCTCTATTACGTGATGGCACTAAACACCAGCTCTGATATTCTGGAAGCTTCTCGATTTGATCAGGACTTGAATTGTAAACTTTCTGGTGTATGTGACCTAATTGCTGCCGAGGCTAAATATTATTTACCCTGTCTTAGTTCCTTTAAAAGAAATACGTCAAAAACCAAAAATGCTCATGAATGTAACATAGACCCACCATTGGCATGGTAGAACTCTGAAATTCGTTATGATAGATACACCACCTCATACTGGTGTTGGGGTTGATGAACAAAGTGCCATCAATTGCATACTGGACAGTGTCTACATGTTCCTTAAACATTTGTATGTTGACTTCATCCAGTAACGAGATCCAAAGATCTTGTTCAGTTGTTCCACAAAGCAGGACAAGTTACAAGCAGGTCATGCGACTTGACACATCCATGACAGAGTCAACGTTGAAAACAATGAATCACACGCTGGTTCTGTGATACCACTAAACCTCATACCAAACAGATATGTTTTCTTCACAGCAGACAATATTGATATCCTGGATAAAATCTTGGATGGAAAAAACACCTACTATGCGACACGAGTAGCAGCATGGACCAGCCCCTGATGTGATTTTTTTACACATTATAACCATCAAAACTTTAGATATTCCAGATGTCATGTCAAAAGTCAGTTCAGCTAACATGCCTGTTTCTCTTGGCACACTTTCCATCTCTTAAAGCTGACAACACCTGGATGTTGACAGGAACTGCTCATAAAAGAAAGTACATTCCAGTGGGGTAAAGTTTATGAGAAACTGCCAGTACATTCTGTTGCATCGTTGTTGCCATTTCATGCACTTACGGGCCGCGATCATACCAAGAGATCAGCCTGGAAGGTCTTTCTCAACTATCATCATCTCCTAAATGATTTGGGTGCTGAAAACATGAACCAAGACAAGACCAGATCCTCTGACGAATTTGTGTGAAAGGTATAAGGTGTTCATAATGTTCAAAGTGTGAACACTGTGCGTAGGATTTTGTTTGACAAACCATTCAGACCTGGGATCAGTAATAGACATGTCTCTGTCTGCCGACAGCAGTATGCAGACGACACAGAGCTGAACAAGGTTTTCTCTCCCAATGCTACAGATGCTCACGATGCAGTTTCAGAGGTAGCTGGCTGCTGTGAGGATATAAAAGCTTGGGTGTTTCAGAACAAGCTGAAGCTGAACGAGTCAAAGAATGAATGTCTTCTCTTGGTTCTCAGCATAGAAGGGCTGAGGCAGGAATCCGCGAATTCCAGTTTGGAGACAGTCGTGTTCCTCTTTCGTCTGGGGTCAAGAATCTTGGGGTCACTCCCGACTCAGATCTTTCGGATCTCATGTCAATAATCTTACCAAAACCCGCTTTCTTGTCCTCGGGAATATTGGTAATGTTTGCAAGTGCCTGACAAAGAACTCTACTGCCACACTGGTCCTGTCGCGAATCTTGTCACGGCTCGACTGTTGCAATTCCCTTCTGTCTGTGGCAACTTAACAGCATATTAACAAACTACAACGAGTTCAAAATACTGCAGCAAGGATTGTTACACTGCAATTCCCTTCTGTCTGTGGCAACTAAACAGCATATTAACAAACTACAACGAGTTCAAAATACTGCAGCAAGGATTGTTACACTGACTAGGAAATCAGAGCATATCACACCTGTTCTCCACAGCCTTCACTTGCGCCCTGTGGAACAGCGTATCAGCTACAAGCTCCTTTGTCTTGTCTTCCAGTCTCCGGTCCAGTCAGGCTCCTCCCTACATATCTGATCTGATTAAAGCCTACACACCAGCAAGAACTCTACGTTCCCAAACCAAAACCCTGGTCCATGTTCCCATGGTAAAAACATCCCGCTATCGGGAGAGAACATTTGCATATTCAGCCACTAAAGCCTGGAACTCTCTGCCCCAGTACCCGAAAGACTCTGAATCATTGTCAGTTTAGGCCCAAACCCAAAACCTTCCTGTTCAGACTTGCTTTCTCTGTGTAACTTCTCTCATCTCCTCTCGGACATGTGCACTTAGAGCATGTCCTGTGCGTGGATTCAGCAGCGTTACAAGTGGATTGTTCTTATTATTTTTAAACCTGAGTTGATGCCACCAACAAGTGATGCCCTATGCCACCACATCCAGCGTGTCCATTAGCAAATCATGATCTGGAGGAAAGCCTGGGAAGCTATTCCATCACTTCCCAAATTCACAGAGATGGGTTGGACACGAGCAAACAAAGGTAAACAACCCCAGCTGATGTCTTAGGATCCCATTTCTGAAGCCTATTTTGCACTTATTACGTGCTCATGTCAAACAATGCGCTGCAAATGCAAGAGATCAAATCTTCCTTGTACTGCTGCGCGTGGTAAGTCACAAAGATGCTTATTCAATAATTCTTTGAATATTATGAGATGTTGAATTGAAACTTGTTTATGGTTGTGTTGACCAAATTATTAAGCATAACATGGGAAATTGAAAGTCCTATGTATATGAGAATCAAGTGTGAATAACATTCTTGTTATGACGTTGGTATGTTTCAGCTGATATATTGTGTTGAGAATTGTTTGTTAAAGTTTCATTGATTATCCGTATGGTTTTCATCCGAAATGATTAAAACTGTTCATGAAAAATATGTAGTTGTATATTGGTATAACTTTGAATACTATTTGTTTCCTCACTGTCTCAATATGGTCAAGGTAACAATGATGATGTAATCAGCACAAAATCAGCTATTTTTGCGGCCATTTTGTTTTTCAAATTTGAAGTTCATAATCAAAATATTTTGGTAGTTGGTATTTTCCCCATGGTCCCTAGTATGGTGATCTACCTTCAGTTGTTGGCGATCTATAGCCCAATTTTACATTGTATTGTCCAGAAATAATTTTCTACTTTTAAAGATATATGCTAGCTAGTTTTAACTCAATCTGTGATAATCTAGTGGTTTTACTGTCCTTCTTTGACAGGGTTTTATATATTATCTGTATGTATTACAAATTTAGAACTAGTTTTAGTCACGATATGGCTGAAATATTGCCGATGTGACAACGATATTGCGAATAGGTTTGATATGTAATATAGTACAGGCCATGTGTAAACTACTAGTCAAGTTATAAAAATGACAAGTCCGTCATCTTTTTTATACAGAAATAACATGATATGTATGGTCTTGGGAGTAAGAGAAAGTTTTAATATCGCCTTGAAAATCACGTTGCTAGAAGACCACAGTTGTGTGAAGATCATTTTTCATCCTAGGCCTATTTTGTGGCCTTCACCACTGTTGCAGCAAGGTGAATGTTTTAAACACTATCTTTATTGCTATACTTACTTCTTTTATATCATTTGAAGTGCTTGAAGGCAAGATAATGAATCTGTGACAACGATGAAGTTTTCTCCCGTCCAGTATTTTGCACTTTCAGATTTTGCACTCTTGTCGGCTCTGCCGAACAGTCACGTCGGGCTATTCCGAAGAATGACGTCGGGCTATTCCGAACACTCTCGTCGGGCATTTCCGAACAATGACATCGGGCATTTCCGAACACTCGTGTCGGGCTATTCCGAACAACGGCGCCGGCTGACGACCTCTATGACGTGTGTTTATGGTGCGGTCATTTCGTACATATTATATACTCTGATGTCCAGCCTATTACTGAAATTTGTATAATTTAGTCCGTTCCAAAATATAGCTGGAATATTGTTGAGTGCAGCGTTGAACATCAATCCAACCAACCAATTTTTGAAACGTGCGCGAGTTGTTTTTTTCACTCGACATTATGGATAAAAGGAATTCATGTAGATTAATTACAATTTCAGGAAATGTTTGTTCCGAATAAGGAATAAACGTCACTATAGTGAAATTTTACAAAGAATGAAAAACAACAAGACGGCGTACTGTTTATAGTGGTGTGTTCTTATCTTAATATTTAAAAGTGTCCTCACTCAATATATTGATATACCAGTTCCACGCCCTATAACGGTATTGTGTAATAGTGTAACCATAACTCATATATTATATTAGAGAATACGTGACGTTGCTAACAAGGCCAGATATGTTATTGTTTGACATGGTATCTCAACATCCAGATAATCATGATAACTTTCTCCGGTAACCATGCAGGTAAAACAAGTCACATTCAAATACTGCCATGAACGAATGCATCATATGAAGTTATACTTTGCAATTTACGCATATCAGGATGTCAAAAACACTTCATGTGGTTAAAAGTTATTTATCAGGTGTGCTGAGCAGTTATATACCAATTAACAACTCTTTCATATGTGCGTATGGCGGAGGGATTTTCTTATTCTCTGTGGTACAAAGTTGTCATGAACGATTCACCACGTGACAATTCCATCTACAACTTTCAAAGACACTGGTTATAGCCACCAGCAACCCAAGCTAGGCCACCTCATTGGGGATCATGGGAACTTACGGTACCTCAGCTTCCTGCACATCCCCCAGTAGGCTTTAAGTCGTCACTTTAGCTACTGGTGATTGTGGACAATATTAGCCTATCTAAAGAAAGATCAAGAGTTTTTATGAAAGTTAAAGGTTGGTGGGAATAACCAGTAGACAATAATGCACGACCTTTGGGGTAAACTATCACCAGTTATTTACAAATACAAAAATCCGTTGAGTACTGATCTTAACCTGATTAAGAATTATTGATAGGCATTGATCAATACACTTTACTGAAACGTGAAACATATGTGAAAGAGCAATATGAAAGAACCACAAACTATAAATCACACCACACCGAGTCTCCTTAAAGAAATATTGGTCCGTTTAGCCAGGTAACATGTTAACCATGAAAACACATGTGATTCCACTTACGTGTAATTTAACGATGTCAATTCAGTAATTTGATAGACAGTAGGCCTAAACACAGATGAAATATTCCTTCATTTTTTTTCAAAATATAGCAATTTAAAAGTAAATATTAACTATTAAAATATTCACTAGAAAAAACGCTCAAACGGAAAGTCCATGAAAAAGAGTGCTGTATTAATTATTAACAGTATCACTTGATTGATGTTGTGTTCAAAATGCAGTTCTTATATTTACTTGTAAATCATATAACTGCCAGGAATCAAACAGGTATTCCTGAACAGTGTCTGTACATTCGCATTACAAATGTGTTCCGGTGTGTTTCTATATATCAGGTTTTTCAAATATAGATCACTTATCTTTATGTAATAATCTTTATTTTATTGATTTGATATATGTCTGGTCGCTTTCTTATTGAAACATTATTTCAGTAAATGTATATTATGGAGAAAACTGAACTGTTTGTGTGCAAAGAGACTTGATCACATCAGGGCATTAATTCCCACAGTGTCCGTGACACTTTCTATTATTTCACGTCTGAATACAAAATATGGGGCATACGGAAGATGAGGATGCAGAAAAAATACTGGAAGCCTTACTTTAATACATGATTAATGTGTTTGTTTTTTGATGATATGTGGACGTATTTCATGGAAGACAAAATTAATTGGCCACGAAAAATAATGGAATTACGTATTTCAACAGGGACAAGGGTGAAAATAATTAAACAATGCTGACGTTTAAACCATTCGAGTCTTAAACACCATTTAGATGACACTTGAAGTGTCGGTCGATCATAATGACTGGAACAGATATAAATGAAAGCAAATGACGTCCTCGGTGCCCGTCAGTCAGTATTGGAGCACAGTGTAAGGGAAACCACTTTCAACTCAGTCGTGAAAATTAGCTGCCCTTGACATTCCTATAAGGTCACGGTCGAATATTTCAAACGTTTATCAACATGACTCAACAAACACGTTCCTGATGTAAAAGTAAGTTGTTCCCCGGACTAATGTTTGGAGTTATCTCATTTATTAATATTTGGCTTGGGAGAACGCGACAGATTGGCCAATAAAACCCATTCCTTGATGAAACAATCATCGTGTTTTTCAGCAGGGCACGTTTCCAAAATTAATATTTATTTATATACACAGGACCAGTTAAATTCTAACACCTACGAATAGTGAATGGAGACACGCATAATTATCGTGTTTTGTGTTTGTTTTGACGGTTCATAAACCACACGGATGAATTATTACCGTTTGTTATATTATCAGCAAATAAGCGACGCCATAGGCACAGCGAAAATTGCTGAGGCCAATGACGCTTGTTCGGTAAAGGACGACAGGGCTACACAGTGAAGGTTTGGTGTTGATCGGACTGTACAGTCCGTACATGGCTGACAAAGCCGTACTTTATGGTTTGGAACTGCGTAATATACTGAAATAGACATGGTGCTATATTTAGAATCGGGTATCCCTGTTTTGACCAAGACTTGTTGGCTTAGCCATCTCATCGCCGAAATACGCACCACGTTTAAGAATGTAACTTCTGTTGCTTGTATTTTCGTCAATTTTCTTCTCTGTGTCTTTTGAAGTATATTGCCCGAAGTACATGTAATAACTTATGATATTACTTCTGTCCATGTGTGACAATGTTTTGAATTACCAACTTACTGTCTTTTGTAACAAACGTAGTAAAACATTTCATTGTTGTAATAACACTGACATGTATATATGTATTCGATGCAAAGGCGCGACTTATCACTTTATATTCGCTTAGGTAACATTACGAACTTTAGATTATGGAAAACAACTAGTTACAATTCAGTAAACTTCAAATTAGTAAGTTCAATTATATTTAATCTATTCGAGCTTGGATGTATAATTACTTGTATTTATACATTATGTTTCAGTATATGAAACATGACAACGTAATGATGCCTAAAAAGTAAATTCAAACTATTCTATTGTGTTTGAATTCTTTGTATGTCCTTGAAATTTCGTATATTGTTTCCTATTTATTAGGTAGTTGAAGGAAATATAATTTTTAGTAACCGCTAAACCATTACATCTAATTCAATCAAGGTGCGTACGAAGTATTTTAGTATCCATTCCCAAGGAAGAGTACCAGGCACTTACCTCTGTAAAAACATCATAATCCCCTTTCTCGCCGACATGCGTTCATTTGCTAAACGCTGTACAAGCCTATGATAATGATTAGCAATTGTTATCAAAACACTTTAAATACTTCTTCTGATTGATACTAAAGTAGGGATCTCTCGTAAGAAAAGCTAACATTTGCTCAGTACTGCTAAATTGGTTGAAATAATAGGTACAGTACAACACACATGTGCGTCTCTCGCTGAATAAGAAGTGCTTTCTGTTGACGACTGTATGTGGCTCTCGCTGTAAGAAACTGCTAATTACCTGCCCCATAAACACGTCACTCGCTGTGAGGAGCTGATTAATTTGCCCCATATATGCGTCTCTCGGCCTTAATGAGTTAAGGAGCAGACGATCGTTCTTGCGGAAGAGGAAGTTTCCCTTTCATATCATGCGTATAAAAGTTGCTGTCGCGATCGGCAACTTGAGAAAACAATGCGAAAATGGAATTTTGTTCGGTAATAGCCGCTTGTTCGGTAATACCCGACACCGCTCTACCCTGATTTACGCAATGAAGACAATGGCTTACATCCTTCCATAACTCAAAATGATGCAGTCGTTTCTTATTAAAACGGAAATTAACTGACATAAATAAAGTGACCAAAATATACGTGGATAACAGTGCATGTACGCCATCAAATCATTGCCTTTCCATTATCCTATCACATGCTCACATGTCGCTGAAGTCCATGGTGCCAACATAGTGACATAAAAAAGAAATGTCTTACAAGACTACACGTCAGCCCAAACCAGCCCTGTCTTACAAGCATGCCGGTGCACAGATCATTCATCCACCAAAATAGAAATACACTGTTTCGATTTGCCAAACAACTCTGGATCCTGATAATGTAGCTGTCAACTACGAAAGAACTATTAACTGATGAAATGTACAAATTTTCATGATTTCAAACACATTCTGATGAGAGTACATGTACTGCTTACACTTTTAGCGAACAGAAATCATATAGAAACATTTAGTACATTCTTCTCCGCTGTATTAAACCTGAGAAACCCACCTTCACAATTAATTGACCTTGTATTTCAATTATTTTCCTACATCCAGCATGTATGTTTTATTTATATTTGCATTTTGTTTGTATTATGGGCCAATTTCTTACATTACTGAAATAAAACGTCTGTATGTCTGTCTGTTTTAGCGAACACCTGGTGTCATCGCTGACAATTTATGTTACATTTGTCCCGGGCTGACTGGAAACGGTTTTGTCGCTGTTATGTACCTTTACGATCATTTAGAGTTTAAATTTAACTTACCCATTACTAGAACTGATAATGTCATAGATAAGAAGACCTAATACCTTCCGACTATTAAAACCTGACCACTGTTTTCAGTTGTTGAACATATTGATGAACAGTTTTCTCTCTAATTGCTGATGTTGTTCTTCCAACATATGAATAAATCATGTGCTATCACTTTGATGACATATTCAGATCTGTCCAAAACCTTACTTAAAATAAACTTGTATAAATATATTATGAACAAATATAAGAAAACATTAATATGCCATTACTTACTCATTTGAGAAGACCTTCGTGTTTGTACTGTTTTTTGGCAGACCAAGTGCAACCTGCAAGAAGTCAAACTGTTGTTCCACCATTTCCAAGTCACAACTCGTGCCTTCCCATAGCTCGAACAAGGTTTCGTCCCCAATGTACGCATAGCGGCCTTGCAGTACTCTACGCAGGTGTACGTCATTATTGACGCTCGTCACATCTTTGTCCTCATCCTTGTTGATCTGGATTCCCTGCCATATGGCCTAGTAGTCACTGAGATTGGAGTCCTGGTGGTGCTTTTGAGGTCGCCTTCGCTGGTTGGCATGTCGGCAGTCCTGGGAATACATAACTTTTTTGTAAATAGCGGGTGCTAGCGGTAGGGCAGGACCGTTTCGCGAACACATGGTGTCATCACTGCTGTGATCCATTCATATAATTTTCACAGCTTTGTTTCTGCACATAGTCAAAATACTGAGTATTCTTTCGTACTGACGTTCTGTATTTCATTGTGTGTTCAGACATATGTGTTCAGACGGTGTGCCCGTAAAAGTCGTGGTGGAGGGATTGCCTTTATTCTTAGGGATCACATTATGTTTTCTGAATCAAAATTACAATATGAGGCAAAGTCATTTGAATCTTTTGAGCTTCTGTTGAAACATTCTCAAGGTGCAGTACATTTGATCGGACTGTATCGTCCTGCTCCATCGTCGAAGAACAAGCTTACAAATGCCCTGTTCTTCCAAGAATTCCCCAATTTCTTGAAAAAGCATGTCAAAGGAAAGGAAACTAATAACTACAAGTGATTTTAACATTCATTTCGAAAATAAAGACAACAATGATACAAGATGATGATGCATCTCCTGTACACAGCATTGTGTGCTTTCACACATAAAAGCGGACATATCCTGGATTGGGTCCTGACGTGCTCAACCGATTCCTGTTTGCAAAATATATCTGTGCAAGACTTTTAACTGTCTGACCATTTTTCTGTTTTCTTGAATCTTGAGACGACTGGACCTTGTCCTAGAGTAAACACTGTTCAGGGCTGCTTTCAGAGCTGCTTTGTGGCAGTCTCATCATATTCTTTACTCAAAAAGTAGTCCAACACACAACCTTTTGTTTTTGTCTACTCCAGATAGAAAGGCTATATTTTGTACTAAATTTCTATCTGTTGCAATAATTGCTTTTTTGCAGGATGTTCTATATGTTGGACTACTTTTTGGGTTCTGTACGTTGGACTACTTTTCTGTGTGTTTGGATTACATTTTGTCTTCGTGTATGTTGGACTACGTTTTGTCTTCATGTTGAACTACTTTTCTGTGTGTCCGACTCCTTTTTGTCTTCTGTGTGTTGGGCTGCTTTGTCGTGTTCGATATGTTGGACTACTTTTTGTGTTCCGCTACACTTGTCCTGTTTTTGTTGGGCGTGTGGGAACAGAATTGGGGTGAAAACGGTTAGTAATACGACTGAACTGCCGTCATACATACTAGTCAAGCTATCTACAAGAGAAGAAGGATGACGTCAGGACTTCACCTTTACACTAGTCACCTCCAGTAACTCAAGACTTTAGTGTTCACGAATTGTGCGAAACAATCAATCATGTTGTTTCATGGGAAACTTGAAAGAACATTATGAGGTCACAACTGTGTGCAAGTGTTACGTCATTCAAGGTCTTAGTAAAGATTTCGAAAGTCTTGATGCTTGTCAAAAACATTTACAAATTTAATGTATACTGAGTCAAAAAACGAACTTCACATTCTTTCTTCAGGGCACTATAAAAGAACAAGAGATGGTAAGATGGTTAAATTGTTATTATTTCATTGCTGAGATGTGTGTGATGTACTCGATACACTGACAGTGCCATATTCAGTTCCATTAGGCTACACCGCCGTTCCAAAACATGGGTATACAGAATGTCAAGTGACAAGAATAAAAATGCGACATTTCTCAGTTCAATATCGTGTATGGCCGCCCCGCGCATTCACCACTGCCAAACACTGTCTCCTCATCGACTGCCTGATGCTTGTGAACACGTGGTTGGGGATTCTGCGCCATTGCTCTTGCAAGGCAGGGCCAAGTTCCTGCAAATTCTGGTTCCTAAGACCACGAAGCCTTCTCCCAAGTGCATCCCAAACGTGCTCTATTGGCTTAAGGTCAGGGGACCTTGATGGCCAGTCCATGACGTTGATTCCAGCATTTTGAAGGGAATTTCGTGTCAACATTGCGGTATGCGGCCGAGCATTATCATGCTGGAACTGTAGACCTGGGCCATGAGCCGCCATGAAAGGAACGAGTTCAGGGGTGGGCACCTGGTCGCGGGAAGCAGCAGCTGTGAGGTTTCCACGGATGACCAGAAGTCGGGAACGGTTGTTCCCACAGAAAGCACCCCACACCATGCAACTTCCACCCTTGAATCTGTCGACTTCCTGTACACAACATTGGGCATACCGTTCACGACGTCGTCTCCAGACTCTATGCCTGGCGTCCGCGAATCTGAGGGTAAACCTGGATTCATCGCTAAAGACGACTCGATTCCAGTCTCTCTGGGTCCATCGGAGGTGACGTTGGGCCGACAGCAGACGTTGACGTTGATGAAACAGCGTCAATATTGGGCGTCAATATTGGCCCACGATATGGAAGTCGAGAATGGAGATTGGCAGCCCACAACCGATTTCGAATGGTCTATGGGGACCGTCGACCTCTAAACATCTCAGCCCTGGTTCATGTAGCCGGCAGAAATCTGTCACGTAGGTGACGTAGGACGATTTGACGGTCTTCTGCTCGTGACGTCACACGTGGACGACCCGACCTTGGGCGATCAGAAGTGGTGCCAGTTTGTTGTAGACGACCTCGCAAGTCATACACACTACGACGGCTGCATCCCATTGCTCTTGCGATGTCAATAACTGATCTTCCCGCTTGCAACATGCCAATGGCGCGTTCACGTTGCACATTTGACAATCGTGGCATTTCAAGTACCGTTAGAACTGTGGTTTAAAAGTGTTTTTTCAATTCTTGAGGCCAATGCAAACACGTGCAAATGAAGAAAACTTCGATGCGAAGATCACGTGATCGACTGCACGTGCAAAACCTGATTTGGCACTTACGTCATTTGCACGACGAATGGATGGGTTTGAGAGGGTTTTGCTAACGTTTTTCTAGAGTCGAAAGATAGGGATCCCATTTCAGATACATAGATGTATCATCAGAGAACAATTATTCATTATTTTTCAAATTACATTTTGTGAAGTTTCTTTTTTGACATAGTATATTAGTGACCAAACTTCCCTATTCACTCTCTCTTTTTTGTTTCATTTATATATACCATGTTTCTCTTGGTGAACACTTAACTTGACTGTTCATGTGCTTGTTATGGTTCCACGCCGCGCTAACCTTATCAACACTGTTTGATGGTAATTATTATACTCATGCTGAAGTCGAAACTTCGACGTGGACTCTACTTTAGCGTAGTTGTCGTTTAAAGTAGAAATGGTTATGATGCTTAATATATATTTGATAAATTTCTCTTTTTGAAGACACAATAATTTTCTCAAATAACGCATTATCAACTGAACATGGTTCGAAATGACAAACAAAGCGTGCCCTGGAATAAACCACATACCTGCTTATTGTGATGACGGAGCAAAGTGACGGTCGCATCTAGGATTGATCACCCTTTAGTTGTTGGCGATCTATAGCCTGGTTTTATATTGTGTTGTCCTCACTAGTTAAAATGTTTTAGATTTAATTACTGGTTTTACGTTTCTATGTATGATGATCTAGTCATTTTACTATATTTTGATATAAGTGAAAGCCCTTACCCTGAAAAGAGAGAGGTAGTTCG